GGCCGCGGCGCTCGGTTCTCGGCTCTCTGACCCGCCTCCCCCCCAGCACCTGTCCGTCTGAAACGAGGAAGAGCTCAGCGAGGACAGGCTAAGCTTCCCAGGGCTTTGAAAAGCAAGCCGATCCCAGATGCCCACTCCTTGCTCATAACGAGCTAAACCTGACACCTAACTGATGTAGGAACAAATTCCTCGACGTCCTGGACTTTCGCTGGGGCCTCTGCAGCCGGAGCCGGATCTGTGCCCGCAGGGCCAGGACGCAAGCCGGGGTTGGCCTGTGACTGGGCCGTCACACTGCCCACCCAGGGGGAAGGGGACCCGGTCCCAGTCTGGAGGAGCTCACAGGGCCAGGGTGATGGTGCCATCAACGCTTGGGCTGCCCACACCTTCCGAGGGGCCCCCTGGGGCCTACCTGGGGGGGGAGGGGCCACCTCGGCAGCTGGCGAGGTCCCAAACAGCCGGGAGATGATGCTGCGTCTCGGGGCTGGAGCGGGGGCCACGGGGGGCGCTGGGGGCAGCGGGGCCTCTGAGGGGGACGGTGGGGAGGGGCAGGCAGAGGGGGCGGAGAGGGGCAGCTGTGGGGCCGGCTGGGGCGTGCTGGGGCTGGAGCTCCCCGTGGACACGGCGCTCACAGGTACCACCGGTGACTGGGAGCCGGAGGACGGGCTCTGCCCGTTGGCCGCCAGCGGGGACGTGTGGCCTCGGCTTCGCGCCTCCATCATCTCCAGGAAGCTGGGGGCACAGGTGGGAGTGAGGAGGCTGCCTCCCTGCCTCTCCCTCTTATTTTTGGCGACAGGTGTCCCTGTCCTCAGGCCCAGCAGCCTCGTAGCAAGCAGAGCCTCCCTGGGGCAGAGGGCTGGGAGGAGACGGGCCGCAGGCCAGCCTGGCCCTCCCACCGTGCAGATGGCAGGACTGGTGCTGAGACAAGCCCTGCTGCTTGCACCTGGGCCTGTGGGGACCGGGAGGGGGTCTAGGCTGGTCCCCCTCCCCCTTAGATTGGACTTCGGGGAGGAGTATGGCATGGCTAGGAGTGGAGTCTGGCCTCTGGCCCCACAGCACGATGCTGGCTCAGTCCAGTCCCCAGCCAGGCCAGCCCCCTCTCCCCCGCAGTCGGCTGACCTGCTGGAGGCACAGGCAGCTCTGGAGCCTTTGCTGTCGATGACCAGGTCAGCCCCCCCGGTCAAGGAGCTGAGGACCCTCCCCTACGCTGGCCCCAACTGGAAGCCAAGCTCAAAATGGCGCAACCTCAGCCAGAACACGTCCTGCTGAGGCCTCGGGTAGAATGCTGCCCGACCAGCGGCACTGGCAGCACAGGCCACGTGGCCAACAGGCCGGGCTGCGCGCCCTGTCCCTGCACCCGGGGCTGTGCGGGCAGCCCCCCAGCAGCCTTCTCTGGTGCCCCCAGTCCTGTTGTGCCCCCGGCCCAGAGCCACTGTGGGTCCTGCCAGGACACCTCCAAGGGCCCGGCCCCAACGAGCTTGGTGGGGAGAGGCCAGGTGGCTTCCACTGGAAATCTAACCCACATGTTCTAGACAAGCGCTATTTTACCCTAGTTTACCCCACATATCTCACTGGTGGCATTAACGACAGAGCCCCCCGCCCCCCAGGGCCTGTGCTCAGCTCTGAGCACCTCCACCTTCACCTCGAAAGTGACTCGGATGTTCGGACCCACAGGTCACCCGGCCGATGGGCCTGCTGGGCTGGCGGTGCTGCCCTTGTCTTGCTAGCACTGACCCTGCCGCAGGCGTGGTCCTGCCGGCCGTCCCTGAGCCCTGCCCGTGCCCAGCCTCCGGCCCGGCTGCATACATGCTGTAGTTCTGGTCCTCGGTCTCCTGCTGCACCGACAGCTCCTCCAGCGTGGCGTCGATGTCCAGCTGGTTTGTCTCCAGCTGCCGCAGCAGCGTTTCTCTCTGCAGGGAGGAAGTGACACCTGAGGGACACGCCGCGGCAGTGACCGTCCCCTCCAGCCTCCCGGCCGCCACTGAGGAACCAACAGCTGCCGAGCACGGGAGGCAGAGACCTGGACGTTCACACCACCTCCTCCCCGTGGCCAGGGTGACACCTAAGGCGCTCGGTGTGGCTATGACGATGCCAGTGCCAGGGACAAACCACCCAGCTAGCCCTGCACACAGGTGCTGCCTGTGCTGTGGCACCACGTGCGGAGGCCGGTCCAGGGTGCACGGGGCCGCCCGCCACTGGGTGCTGTGTGTGCGTCACACTGGATAGAAAGTTGAAGGACAGAGTGACACCAGGGGCGGAAGAACAGGTGCAATGACAGGGCCTTCGCCCCGGCCACGCGGACAGCACCAGCGACCCAGCCCATGAGGCCCGTGAGGCCTCCCAAACCAAAGGCGAGAGGAAAGGAAGACGCTGGTCTCTGTGAGTCCCACTTCCGTTTGGAGAGAACGGAGCCAATGCGGCTTCGGGGCGTTAGGTCAGCACGCGGTGACCAGCCGCGTGGACGTCACGCTTCCTGGCCAGAAGGTGTCACCTCTACGGCCCCAAAGCAAAGTGACAGCTGCGTGTGGGTGGACCGAGGAGTCCCCGAGTGCGGACAAAGCCGTGTGTTATGTTAAGGGATGGACGGCTCTGTGGTTGACAAAAGCACACGGAGATGCGAGGGGCCAGCACTGGGGAAGTGGAGCGAGGGCACAGACCTCGGCACCATCTTGGCAACTCCCTGTAAATCCAAAAATCACCCCCAAAAGATAAAAACTAAAGCTTTATAACACCCAGCAGGTGCGGCACCCGGCAGTGGGCTGTACCCCGGCACAGCGGGGAGGGGCCGAGCACCCCCAGGCTGCTGAGGCCTGGTCCAGAGGGTCGCTGTGGGCACCCAGTGAAGAGGGGTGGGCACAAGGGCCAGAGAAGCATGGTGCAGGGGTCAGCGCCCGTCCACGGGGAGGCGGGCAGGGCTCACCTGCAGCTGCAGGAAGGGGATGTTGAAGAACTTGTGAAGGTACTTGAGGCCAAAGCTGTTCTTCATGGAGGACTCGGCGTAGCGGAAGTAGGAGGAGCCCGGTGGTCTGTTCAGAGAGGAGGGAGCGCCCGGCCATGGGGCAGGACTGCACCTGGGCCAGGCTGCCCTTTTGCCCCCAGGCCCCTGGGGTGCCTTCAGCAGGTCACCACCCCCAAGTGGCCCTGGGCCTAGACTAGAGCCTACAGGGTGCGGCCTGCACTGGCTGGTGCGCTCACCCCTCCCCTGCCTGCCGGGTGCCAGGAAGCCAGCTGCCACGCGGTCCTCAGCCCTCCCCGCTTTTCCCCGAGTCCACATCCCGTCCCACACCATCCCCAGCTCCAGGCCCCAGATCTCCGCGAGGCCTCCTGCGGTCTCCCCAGCGACACGCACCTGTCCAGGCGGTCCATGAGGTCGCGCACGTCGTCAGGCAAGATGACGCGGTGCTCGCCCATGTCGCGGTAGTTCCCCAGCACGCACACGGGCACGTGGGTCGGCACCTTGGGGAGCTCCCGCAGGATGTAGCTGAAGGTCCTTCGGAGGCAAGGTGAGGAGACCCACCTGAGTTTCAGCCCCGAGACCCCTGCCCCGTGCAGCACGTGCCCTGGACCGATGGAACCCCTCCTGTGCGGGCAGTGCCCGTGGCTCACACCGGGGCACGGGCACGGGCGGCCCCGCCTGCCCCAGCTCTCCAGCGCTGCTCTTCCTGGACTGAAGGTCATTGCTCAGCGAAGCCCCGGGACACTTCAGTGACAGTGTCCGTGCCAAAGCCCACAGCAAAGCCACCTGACTCCCGGGCTCAGGGCCCACTGCAGCGCCCACGGGAAGCCCCTTCTTCCCTGGCATGTCCCCGAGGAGCGTGCTGCCGCTTTCCGCGCAGGTACGTGCGACACATGTGCTTGGGGCTCCACCACCCATTCCACATCTCCGACACGCTGCCTGCCCACCCAGCGGTCTGTCACGTGGGTGCTGGTGGTCAGTGCACACCAGACCCCCGGGACCTGAGTCACCGCTGGGCACCATGGGAGACGGATGAGCCCGCCCAGCACACCCAGGCATGCGAGGGAGATGCCGGCACTGCAGGGGCGTGCGATGCTCAGGAGAGCCGGGCTGGGTGCCAGACGCGGGATCCACACACGGGCACGCACTCCAGCGCAGTAACAACAGTAACATTTACAAGGCCGAGTAAGCGGCAGAGTGAACGCACTCCAGCGCAGTAACAACAGTAACATTTACAAGGCCGAGTAAGCGGCAGAGTGAACGCCCCCGGCCGTCTCTAAACCACCGTCAGCCCTCCCTCTGCATCCTGAAGACCTCCATTCGGTGGCAGCTCGAAGCCCAGAGGCTGCTGGTGCCGCCCCGTCAGCTCTCCCGGGGTCCCAGCGCCAGGCAGGACAGGCACCGAGTCCCACGCGGCTCCAGGCAGAGGCCCTGGGAACTGGCGCCCAGCACCCCACAGGCACCGAGTCCCACGCGGCTCCAGGCAGAGGCCCTGGGAAATGGCGCCCAGCACCCCACCCTCCCCCTGCACCTCCCTCGTGCTGCTCCTGCGCGGGAGCCCCAACAAAAGGCCACTTGATTCCACCAGATTCTGGACGGTGTTTGCAGGAAAGGCTGGGGGCTGTGCAGGCTCAGGCCTCGCCCCCACGTGAGCGTCTGCCTCCACGCAGAGGGGAACACCCCCACGCTGGCCCAGTGCACGTGCAGACCCAAGACATCTGGTCCGGTTCTGTGTAGCTGGCCTGCCACCGTGCACAGCCCAAGGCTGGCCCTCAAGCACTTGGCACTAGTGGTGACGCCGGCGGAACCGCCATCTGCTGGACCTGTGGAATGTCCCAGGGGGGTGGGTGCGAGGAGCCGGGCACCCTCTTACCACTGCTTGGTGATGTCGAACATCATGACCACCCCGTTGCAGTTCTTGTACACGTCCAGGAACTCGGCGTCCAGGGCCATCTCAGACTCTGCCTGGGACGGGAGGGAGTCAGGCATGAGCGACGCGGCTGCGGGCAGGACCCCCAGGGGAGCCCACGGGGGAGCCCACGGCTCCCAGGAACGCCGAACAGGCCTTTCCATTTTGGGAAAACACAGATGACGTAGTGTGGGCGGGGAAACTGCCTCAAGGGGTCTGGCGGGAACATTCAGACTCTGGGCCGCCGTGCCTGTGCCTCTGCCTGGCCTGGGGGGGCCTCCTCCACTGGCCACCACAGCACCTCCCTCTCAGGCCCCAGCAGGAGAGTGCAGGGTCCAGGCCCCACAGCAAGGCCCGCGTCCCAGCATGAGGAAGCACACTTGCAGAGAACCTTCTAGAGCATGCAGGCCGCGGCGGCTGCCGTGCTGGGGGCAGTGGTCACCCCCACACACAGGGGCCCGGTGGGCACTTCACCTTCCTACCACGAAGGGGAGTGGGGAGGCTGCCCACCCCAAGGCCGGCTGCAGGCGCAGGGGGAGCAGGGCCCCTGGAGGAAGTGGGAAGCCACCCTGGACGGAGACCGCGGCCGGCCCAACTTCTCTGTGTCGGGGTGGTGGCCACATGGCAGCCCACTGGGAGCCACGCTCATGCCCACCGGCACACAGGCCACGGCACGTCCTGTGCTTTCAGGCCCGAGGCCTCTGGGTGGGGTACAGACTGGCAAGTTCCCCGAGCCCCGCTCAGGTTGCTCAAACTCCACACAGGTCGTGCGGCAGGGGCTCTGGGGCCCAGCCACCCCGTGACCACAGGCAGCACAGGGTCCCGTGAGCAGCTGGGACAGGCAGGCAGGGGGT